AATGATATGCCTTGACCAACCAAAAATGGTTTAAATCGGTCTTGCCAAATCCCTTGAGCATTGATCATTTCGCCTCGTCTCATGTTCCCCAAGATCCCCAAGTAACTCAATCTGGTGGAAAATCCCTGCAGATTCCGCTGAGCCTTGCCATGTTTGGTCTTAACAGAGACGCAACAACTTCTGCATGCTGACCAACTTAATCAACTTACGAGATGCAGGAGCCAGAAGACCAAGACCAGCGAAATCACGTCCACAGCCTGCGATGTTCCGAAGGTTGACCGGTGCAATTGTCAAATTACCCTCTGGTAAACTAACATAGCTATTAAAAATGGCCATTTATAATGGATTTTCCCATTAAAAATGGTGATTTTCCATAGCTATGTTAAATTACCAGAGGGTAAATGATATTAAATTGTACACAGCCGGCTAGCCAATCAGCCTTGAAGAGAATCCACAGTTCATGGTGGACGTATTGCAGCTAGTGCTCAAATCCAAACAAATCAAAGGCTACTATGTCAGCAGTCTAGCATCACATGGAATCGCGTGCGCTATATCTTCAGATACATCATGCATCAGGCACCATGTTTGATGTTTACTCGGGCTAGCAATTTCGGACAGTGCACAATCAACAAGTCAAAGTGTTAAGGCAGTGTTTGGAAATGGTGTCGACAAACCAGCACTACCATGAGAACCACATATTCGATGCTGCTCAAAGCACCTGGAAGACGAAATCGCCAGAGGCATCCACAGGCAAATAGCCATGCAACCACAGCCTGGCCGGAAACTTCAATGGTTCACCAAAAGCCTTGAGTCAGCTCTGAACCAGCTGATTATGATTGCAACCTTCAACAGATCAACTTCACAGGATTTTCCAACTGTTTGATCGGCTCAGTCGCAGCACAAAGTGTCGCAGCACCAAGTGTCACTTCTGTTATGATGCCAAGCTGCACCAAGTGTCCCTGCACCCGCAAATGGCCGGGTCTCCCACGTTGATGAGAGGCGGAAGCAAAGTGACCAAGCCTGAAACGTCTCTCTCGGTTGCGAGCTCAAGACGTCCCGTGATCATCCCTTGGTGTACCAGGCTCCAAACGTCCAATGCGAGAGCACGAGCGGAGATGCCAGCAGTGCTACCCTGACATGGCATTGACCGCTTGCCGCCCGAGTGTTGGGACATTCGTGTATCATCATCACAATGTGTACACATAATAATATATATATATGTATATATACATACATATATACGTATATACGTATATTATATATATATATACGTATACATATAGTATTGTTATATATAGTCTATATAGTTGTATTTATATTATGTACAATAATACAACATCGCAACAAAAATAGTGCCAAAAGAGATGACCCAAACATACCCAAACCACTTGAGATTCCTGAGAGTCTGTTGGGCTTCCCAGCTGTGAGCAGCACTTGTAGAGAAAGTAGCGCAAAGCCAAGGCATTGAAATATCACCTCAGGGCGCAATTGGCCAATTCATTTCCTATCATTTCCTCAAGCTGGTGATTGGGGTCCCAAACGGCCAGGGTGAGAATTGCAGAGAACCTCAGGCGGAGTTTGACGGAGCTGGAAAGCGGTGGAACCGCGGGTTCTCTGAGCTCCGAACTCGCCGCTGGCCACGAAGTGATAAACCACCAAGGCAGCAGCAGAAAAGAGCCTGGCAGCCGAGTTGTCTCACGAGGTCGTGGAAGGAAAACATCGAAAAGCGAGGCAGCCGTGCCCATAGGCAACCATTACCTGTCAAGACGGTCAAGACCAAAGGGAGAAATGACAGGAACGGAATCACATTGGTCCAGCTATGTCCAGCTGTTCACCTTGTTGGGTGGGGACTTCTTGGAGATCAACTGCATCGCATGATTGGCGAACATGGCGAGAAAAGACCTCCGGCCAAGCAGATCCAAGCAGCACAAACACAAGCAGCACAAGGCCGCAGGGAGGAAAAGTCAAGAAGTCACTAGGGAGATGAAGGTGTTTTTTGGATGAAGATTCCTGTTGCTTGATTGGTTCATACTTGTCTGCCAACATCTTCCAACCATCAACCCTCACAGGATGTGAGGCCGCCATGTATTTTTTTTCATTTCGCTTCTGGTTGTTCAGCAGCTTCCCCAGAGCTGCCCACTTTGGATCCATCAGACTGCGGCTCGGGAGCTTCGGCGGCTTCAGCAGGAGCTTCGGCCGCTTCGGCTGTCGATTTGTCACCAGCCTCCGCGGCCTCTGGCGCTTCAGCGGGTGCTTTGGGCGCTTCAGCTGGGCGGATCTTCGGTGCTGGCACCCCAATGACCTTGGGCGGTGCCCGGGAAACGGCCACCTTTGGGGTAGACGTCGCAGTATCTGCACCCGCTGATGCATCAGCTGCACTGGCGGCATCAGCTGGTGCTTCTGCAGCTTCGTTTGGTGCATCTGAGGATTTTTCTCCAAAGCGATCTGAACGTTTCTGCCGCTTCTGTTGCTCTTCCTCCGTGACCAGCAGCCGTTTGGTGCCAGCCTTGGGTTTGGCCTTGGGATTGCTCCTGGGCGGCCGCCCAGTTCGGCCTTGTCGCATTGCCTGCTGCTGGTTCTTGTAGAAGACCTGCGCATAGTGCATGGGGGACATGGCCTTTGGCACTGATTTCTTGGATTTTTTAACATCATTCACCGTGGCCAAGCGCATTTGTAGGAAGATGGGGGGCACGCCCTCACTGACCAGGATATCAGGAGTTCTTCTCCATGGTTCATCCTCTGTCTTGGGGAAGGAAAGTGCCTCCAAGGCCTTCTTGGCACCCTCAGCGTTCTTGAAGATGATGTTGGCACTGGAAGCATTGATCCATTCCACATACTTGTGCCCAAACTGGACAAAGATCTCTTCCATGTGATGAGTCTTCAGGAAGTCTAAACCATAAACGTGGACGGCATTTTTTCGCACTTGGGCCTCTGGATCAACCTCATGGCGTTCTTCTGCCGGCTGAGCAGAGGCCAACGGAGGCTCATCCTCGTCATCTTCGTCATCGCTCAATAGTTCCACCTTTGGCCGTTTGGGGTGTGAGGGAATGGCTTTGCCCACATGCTTCACAGGTTCGGAGTCAATGTCTTGGCCCGCAATGTCCTCCTCCATGGCTTCGAGTCATCGAGTCCGAGACTTTGAGCACTAAAGTCCTGAGGATCGGTGTTTCGGCAAGGATCGCTCCTGGCAAGACCTGGCACCTGAAAGAACAGGCATGACATGGCATGACATATACCACAAATAATTCGTGGATGTATTTTGTATATTTTGTGCATGATGTGGGTGACATGCCTTCTGACAGCCTCGATCAAGCTGCTGTCATCCACTGCCTCAAAGCTTGAAATTCAGAACGTAGAAGTGTATGAAGACCTCGCAGCAATTCACCCCTTCCGTGAATCAAAACGCAGGTCAGGCAGAAATCGTCAAAATCAACAAACATCATCAGCGATCATTAAATTACAATAATCAAAGTATGTTGAAGTCATGAAAAGTGAGCCCACACTTTAGGGGCATCATCCTTGACCTTTCTCTTCTGATCTGGGTCCCTGCACCGACGTGTGCTCCTGCACCAGCCGGAAACCTGGAGGTACTTGTCAGTTCAGTGACAGATGTAGTGTGACAAAACTTTAGTGGTCGTGGCACACCCAACATACTCCACTTGGGTATGACTTCTCATGGGCTTGTCATGTAACCCCCAAAATGGCAAACACTTGGTGTGGATTGAACCGGATAAGTTAGACTCAGTTAGACTTGATGTCAATGGCCCTCGGATGCCCTGCCCTGGGCTAGGCCAAGCGAGAATTCTGACGGCAAAGCTTACGCAACTCTTTCGCTTTCCCAAGGTTTTGCTTACGTTCCTTTAACAAAGATTCTGCTTACGATTACGGCAAACTGTTGTCAAAATGTCCATGGTACGCAAAAGCGTTGACGGTGCATGGGCAGAAGATGGGCCAGCACGTGCATCCGAATAAGTACTGACTGCTTTCCCTGGTGGAGGAGGAAGAGTCCGAATCTGTGTCGTTGCGGGCACGTTTGCGCCGTTTTGAAGCGGCTTTGCTGAGGCTTTGTGGGCCAGGGGTCCAATGAAACAGTTTTCCGCGTACAGTGCGCTTCCGATTCGCTTTTCCTGAGATTCAACTTTGGAAATTGGGAATCTATAATGAAATTATCTTCTACTTTGCGAGGGCCGTTCCGCTACAACCGGAAACTGCCCATGTGCTGGATCTAAAATCCCTGGAACGTGAGCCATCAGCTGGAAAATGGATGCATGTTGCTACCACAGCAAACAATTCAGTTCAGTTGCTCTGTGTGTCTTGTTGCGTCATCACTGACAGCATGCATCCTTGTGAATGCCACTCATGTGGATTCATTGTAGCAGAGTACATCTATGGAGTGCTGTCCCTTCGCCACATCCTGACCAGTGCCCTTTCTCTAGCCCCACCTTGCTTGTGGAGGGGTCAAGCAAAAAATCTTGAGCCCGAGCTTGTGGCAAGTTTGGAAATTCCCCAAAGACCTTTCAAGAGTCAACACTATCAGTCTTGCGAGATTGCACGACGTTTGCATGACAGGAATCAGTTCAGCTCTCTTTCACTTCAAATAATTAACAATCATATACCAACAATTTTCAACATCAGCTCAAGATGGCCGGAGCTATTTTCGCCAGGGCAGTTCTTTGCAGTTCGTTGCCCGGTCAACAGCCTAAGTTGACAGAGATAAAACAATTCCTCTCAAGCCTGGCACTGAAAACCTTGAATCTCCCAGTTGCCGTTGTTGTCCATGTGGGTTTATCTAAAAACGCGGTATACAGCGGTATACCTACAAAACATGCCATTAAAATGTTATGACAATGATAAGTTGTTGGAGTTGCGGGACAATGGGGACATCATTAGCCGAAGCCATCCAAGATGTGCCAAGTCGCACTGGTTGCAAATGATCGCAAAGGATTCGCGCCTTCCACAAGGCACATCAATGATCCACCAAAATGGTCACCGAGCATCAACATTCGGACCATCTCCTTCATGAATCTTCATGATACATACTTGAACTGAGAGTCATTACCTATCCCATCAACATCATTCGACATCCACATCCCTCAGTATACAGCTATCCTGACTGGTCACCATTGTCACCACGCCACGTGTGCATGGCGACCAACCCTCCCAGCCTTCCGACCCTTGGCAAAGGACCAGGCCTATCCACAGGGCAGATCTTTTTCAATGCCAATTGGATCCGATTGATTTCAATCTCAATGCAACCCAATTGGCATTGAAAAATAAAACCCATTGAAACCCATTGAAACCCTTAGAAACCCTTAAATGATCCACCATTTTTTCTCCTCCAGGATCCGCCGCAGCACAGCAACGTTCGCCGCCCGTGCATAGAGGCTGACCATAGCCATGACCTGGTGACCTGCCGGGGGAACCGAAAATTTGCCAGTGATATGTCGGATAGAACGATCACTAATGGATCACATACATAATGGAATATATTCATTAATATATATAATATGTGTATATGTGTATATATATATACACATATATGCATAGATATATATATATATTAATATGTATTAATATTGGATCATAAATGGTGTGTGTTTGTATATCATTGTATATCTATGTTTTTGGGTATGTTTGGGCTCTTTACTTCCCAAATACCTTTGAGCACATCTTCATTTTTCAAGCATATGACAATGTGGGATAACGAAGCCTTGCAGCTGTGTGGCTCCCTTCAATCGCAATGCCAAAGATGTCGAGATGAACTGACCTGCATCAAGAATGGAATGCAAATGTGTCTTGATCCTTTTCTTAGAATCAGAGAATTGAAGCGCTATAGCCGCTATATGGGCTATGTATCACCATGAATTTCCCCTTCATCAATTTCGTTACAACTGCGCTGGATGCGGGTCATTGTACTGATACTCTGACTTACGGAATTTGCGCATATTTGCGCCAAAACTGTCCTTTCCAAAGTTCTGCCTGACTTCTTGTCGTCAGTCAGTTGTCTTGTCCTGAGCGAGAATGCTGCAGCTGCAAGGTGAGCAGGACGTTTACGTGTCGCGTCGCCAAATTGATGTATTGCGAAACGAGAATCTGCTCACTGCAGGCATGCACACAGCCTGGCGAAACATTGACATCAAATAGCATCAAATGGCTCAAATTGGGGGTAAAGAAAGCAATAAAAATACATCAGAAGAATTTAACGATTTTCAGCAATAAAAATACATCAGAAGAATTTAACGATTTTCCTGGAAGTTAACCATGTATAACCATGTAGAAACTGATGCTGGCTCGACATTCGACAACTCAACTTGAGCGCCCTTGACCTCCTCGCAAAGCTTCGAAGGCCTCACCTGTCGGGGATATTCCACTGATTTCACCACGTTGGATGCAAAGCTTGGGGATGTTTGGATATGTTTGGGGTATGTATTTCGATTATTTCGTGTACAAATTGTACAAGTACAGCTACAATGCTGCGCTCTACTTTTATACCCCTGACTGACAAAAGGCGGGAATAGCGCTGCTGAATCAGTTGGTGTGCTCTGGAAACCACTGCCCTGTCAATGAGATTGTGCTCTTCCAACAACTCCCGAGCACGGTCAGAGAGCGCTTTGGCAAACGGTTCCTTGCTCCGGGTGTTGTGACTGTGAGGCATCATTAAGTCTGCGAAGGAGTTCAAAAGCTCGCAATGATTTCCACAGTTCATGTTCCGTCGGAATGCATCTTGGAGGAGCGCGCTGCTCTCATTAGGCGCAGCCGTCAGATCCATAACAACTTCAAATCGCTCTACGAGATCTAGGGCTGTTTTGAGATCCGACTCTGTGGGTGCAGAAGGCAAGTGCAGCAAGTGCCGCGTTAGACAGTTACTGGCTTGTGCCAAGTGATAACCTTTGTGGTAGCCACGGCAGCCTGCCGTGAAGATTCGCTCGCCATGATCGAAGCGTAAAGGAGACAACATGTCCAGTTCAGACCGTGAGATGCGGGGCTGAAACAACAGCTGGACGAACTTTGATAGAGGACCTCCAATACAATCTGGGTGTGTGGACGTAAATGCCCGAGGGTCTCCAGAAAGGTCGGCAATACAGGTTGGCTGACAGAAACGAAGCCAGGACAAGTATCGCTCTATAGGATCGCGCACCAGCAGAACTGTCAGGTAGGAGCCCCAAAAACCGGTGCTCGAAAGGGCTGCATACCATCTGTAGCGCTGCTCAGATCCATTGTATGGTGCTTCACTTAGCTGGCCATCGTCCCAGGCAGTGAAACTGGGTTCCATCGCGACAAAACCAACACCCTTGGAGTACAGCCCTTGGACCTCTCTTGCGGAGAGATCACGCCATTCCGACCCGCCAACCCCCGACATGTCATCTACTCGGCAGTTTTGGACCAAACCACCCCCACCACGACCACCCATCAAATACCATTCAGCTGCCATGTCACATACACTCGTTCCACCTGTCCTCATTGGGTGGAGCATCACTATTGGCCTGATGGAATGTAGGCCCAGTGCACAACGAGCAGCAAAATGGCCCTTGGTTCTCATGAGATGAGAACGCAGCTGCACTGGAAGTGGAGATGCAATGTACCAAAGGGCATTGGATGGCACGCGATACAGCCTCTCAGTGGCAAAGTACACGTCTGTGTGATAGCCGCAAACTTCGCCGTTGTCTTCTTGCAATAAATTCAACATGTTACTATAATATTGGTGGTGAACCAAAACAGCATAGTTGAAGAGAGGAGAGCATGTCAAACGGCTGAAATGATCGAAGGTGGCTTCTATATCGTCGCAGCGGATCTGATTCTCATTCCGCCCAAGTACTGCCACATCAAATCTCAGCAGCAGGGCCTCTCTGATTTGTTTGATAAGTTCTCCTGGTTTCCAGTGAACAAAATCTTCCATGATCAAGCAATAGGTCGCGCGGTTTGCTTGACATCGCTCCAAAATATGCAGATGGACATCCAGCCGTGCATGGGCCACGGCACTGCTGCCAAAGCCGTTTAGCCGCAGACCTTCGGCTAAAAGTTGTCCTTCAAAGCGCTGCCTGCGGAACTTGGACTTCTCATGGACCACGAAGCCACCACCAAAGCTGTCAGCAGACGTTGACGGAAAGGCATTGAAGAACAGCAAACTGACCGATAGGAAGGACATGGATCCATGGCGTCACGCAATGGATGATTCAATCTGCTTTTTATGTGTATATATATATATATTTTTCCCGAGAGCGTCTGAGCGCAGGGTTCTTCCAATAGTGGGGGTCTGTATCTTATCTTCTCATCTTCACATCTTCTCATCTTCACATCTGTATCCCGTCTTCTCATCTTCACATCTGCTCATCTTCACATCTTCTCTCACATCTGCTCATCTTCACATCTGCTCATCTTCACATAGTCTCTCAATTCAGCTCAGCGTCACATCTGCTCATATTCACATCTGCCATCTTCACATCTTCTCATCTTCACATCTGTATCCCGTCTTCTCATCTTCACATCTGCTCATCTTCACATCTTCTCTCACATCTGCTCATCTTCACATCTGCTCATCTTCACATCTGCTCATCTTCACATCTTCTCTCACATCTTCTCTCATCTGCTCATCTTCATATCTTCTCTCACATCTTCTCTCACATCTGCTCATCTTCACATCTGCTCTAAAATTGTCTGGCTCATCTTCCACATTCTGCTCATCTTCCACATCTCCTCCACATGTTTCGGCTAATCTCACATTCTGCTCATCTTCACACCTTCTCTCACATCTGCTCATTTTCACATCGCTCCAATCTTCACACTTCTCTCACATCTCTCTCCTTTCTCTCTCTCGCCTTCTTTTTTATCTCTCTCTTAAGGCCGAGGGTGGTGCGTCGCGAAGTCACGAAACAGTAACCCTTCGCCACGAAATGAGGGGTGATCGGCAAAAACTGAGGTAAAAATTGCGATTTGGACTTGTCATGGAGCAACCTTTCGCACGAAATGAGGGTCGATCGGCTACAAAACTGAGGTAAAATTGCGATTTACGTGTCCCGGAGCCAACCCTTTGCACGAAAGGAGGGTTCGATCGGAAAAACTGATGTAAAATTGCGATTTGATTGTCCGGAGCAACCTTTCGCACGAAATGATGGATCGATGGCCACAAAAAACTGAGGTAAATTGCGATTTGACTTGTCCCGGAGCACCCTTTCGCACGAAATGAGGGTTCGATCGGCAAAAAACTGAGGTAATTAAAACTGCGATTTTACTTGTCCTGGAGCAACCCTTCGCACGAAAGAGGGTCGAGCGCAAAAAAACTGAGGTTAAAAACTGCGATTTTAACTGGTGCCGTTCTTGTCCTGTGTGTATAAAAAGAGCTGTGTGTAAAAAGCGTCTGTGTGTAGAGGTTGTCTGTGTGTAAAAGCGTCTGTGTGTCAAAGCGTTTGTGTGTAAAAGCGTCTGTGTGTAAAAGTGTTTGTATGTAAAAGCTTCTGTGTGTAAAAGTGTTTGTGTCAAAGTGTTTGTGTCAAAGTGTTTGTGTAAAAGCCTCTGTGTGTACATGTGTTTGTGTGTGACAGCGTCTGTGTGTAAAAAGGGTCTGTGTGTAAAAAGCGTCTGTGTGTAAAAGCGTCTGTGTGTCAAAGGGTTTGTGTGTAAAAGCGTCTGTGCGTAAAAGTGTTTGTATGTAAAAGCTTCTGTGTGTAAAAGTGTTTGTGTTACAGTGTTTGTGTCAAAGTGTTTGTGTCAAAGCCTCTGTGTGTACATGTGTTTGTGTGTGACAGCGTCTGTGTGTAAAAAGCGTCTGTGTGTAAAAAGCGTCTGTGTGTAAAAGCGTCTGTGTGTCAAAGGGTTTGTGTGTAAAAGCGTCTGTGCGTAAAAGTGATTGTATGTAAAAGCTTCTGTGTGTAAAAGTGTTTGTGTTGCAGTGTTTGTGTACAAAGCCTCTGTGTGTAAAAGCTTTTTGTTTAAAAGCGTCTGTGTGTAAAAAGCGTCTGTTTGTAAAAGTGTTTGCGATGCAAACTACTGTCTTGCACTTCTCACTGTCCTGTCTTGATACTCCTCTTCTCGACTGCCTATAACAGAGCTTTCATATATCGTTTCTAATATTGCGTCTCCATACTAACAAGAGAAGACCCTGCTCTTCTACGCTCTCGGGCCATCCGTCGTCTAGTTTTATACACGTATAGATATCCGTTGTCTCAACGTTATGTATAGCGTCTAAATGCGCGTATATATACACATTACGAAATAAAGCAAAATAAATATGATTTCGATGATATCTGTGATACGGTGAAGGAAATGTCTAGTCTACAGTTCCGCGGAACTAGACTGGACTACGCTAAGTGTCGTCTGCACATGGAACTGGGTCTGCAACAGAGACAGCCATGAAAGCCATGAATGCGTGAAACCTGTGAAAACTGTGACAAACTGTGAAACACATCCCTCCATTTATCTGAAAGCCAATGTCAGAGTCCTTGTGAGATCTGGTGAGGGTTAATTTTCCAGGGCCAGTCATCTGTCAATCTGCCAGTGCCTCCGTCCTCACTGGATGCCATCCTGGCACATGAAATGGTCATCCAGCATCCAGAGGTAAGGTGAAACCAATTGAAACCAGGTCAAGCCATGTCGAAAACATGTCAAAACTGTATAGAAGTAATGACTTTCCAGGATCATCAGCCCTTAAAAAAGTGAAGCCAGGTTCATGAATCATCCAGTCATCCAGTCCCGTTTTTTCGCCTCTCTGATCTCTCTGTCCCGAGCTGCAACTTCGCCTGGTCGCAGGGCAATGCTATGGGTGGTGGATCTGTATGGAAAACTGTGAGCCTTGGAGCGAGGGCTCAGGCTCCCCCTCCAGGTGCTCAGGAAACGCGCAAGGAGGAGGCGATCAAAGAGCACCTCGTTGAACGAGTCTTGTTGGAAAGGGGAAGAGCCACTTTGGTATGTTGGTACATTATTGGTATTGCACAAATGTCATAGTTAAAAATTTCTTCGGGGTTAAGACGAAGCTGGATGTGTTGCAAGCATGCCATTGTCGATGGCAGAACCGATCAAGATCACCAGATCCCAGTGATCCCAGTGATCTCAGTGATCCCAGTGATCCCAGTGATTCCAGTGATCCCAGTGATCCCAGTGATCCCAGTGATCCCAGTGATTCCAGTGATCCCAGTGATCCCAGTGATCCCAGTGATCCCAGTGATCCCAGTGATCCCAGTGATCCCAGTGATCCCAGTGATCCCAGTGATCCCAGTGATCCCAGTGATCCCAGTGATCCCAGTGATCCCAGTGATCCCAGTGATCCCAGTGATCCCAGTGATTCCAGTGATCCCAGTGATCCCAGTGATCCCAGTGATCCCAGTGATTCCAGTGATCCCAGTGATCCCAGTGATCCCAGTGATCCCAGTGATCCCAGTGATCCCAGTGATCCCAGTGATCCCAGTGATCCCAGTGATCCCAGTGATCCCAGTGATCCCAGTGATCCCAGTGATCCCAGTGATCCCAGTGATTCCAGTGATCCCAGTGATCCCAGTGATCCCAGTGATCCCAGTGATCCCAGTGATCCCAGTGATCCCAGTGATCCCAGTGATCCCAGTGATCCCAGTGATCCCAGTGATCCCAGTGATCCCAGTGATCCCAGTGATCCCAGTGATCCCAGTGATCCCAGTGATCCCAGTGATCCCAGTGATCCCAGTGATCCCAGTGATCCCAGTGATCCCAGTGATCCCAGTGATCCCAGTGATCCCAGTGATCCCAGTGATCCCAGTGATCCCAGTGATCCCAGTGATCCCAGTGATCCCAGTGATCCCAGTCATCCCAGGGCTCTGCTCTTTTTCAAAAATGGCCTCTTGCAGAACTGCTCCGTTTTACGAATGCCAGTGACATCAGTGACATTCCAATTTCCCAATCACCTCCAGGTGGATGTTCCGTCTGGAGACGAAGATCGCAAGTTGCTGATCTTCCTGCCTGGACGGTCCACCGGTCTTGCATTGGCTGTGGCAGTGGGGTAAACATTGCCGCCAAAAAAATAATCAAAATAATCAAAGATAAAAGGAATGAAAGAAATTTCTAATTATAGTTAATTATGATAATCGTATAATGATTATATAATGACTATACGATTATATAATTACTATATAATGATTATATAATGATTATATCATGACTATATAATGACTATATAATGATTATATGATGATTATATAATTATATAGTTTTATAATATATATCAAATGATCAAAATCTATGTATACTATAAATATATATATATATACACAAAACATAAAGAAATTCAAGAAATCGGCACCATCTGGACGGCACCTCACCGTCGCCGCGAGGCTCTGCAGCTGCGCAGAGACCTTTCTTTGGGCCCTCTGCAGCTGACGGAACGCAGCACAGCGCCTCGGGTCCCACTGTCATCCGATTTGATGGGATTTACCATCTGGTTATGACTCACATAGCCATGGTATAGATGGCCCATAGAAATAGATGGTTTACCGGTTTACCTATTAATAGCATGGTGATTTTCCATGGCGAACTGTTAAATAACCAGAGGGTAATGGAAATTGAATGGGAACTGACTGGGAATCCAATGCATTGCTGATGGAATTGAATATGTCTTGCTGAAAGAATTGAAAAGAATCGAATGAATTCGAATGATGTGTATATCATTATACATACAGATTATATTATATATTTATATACACATCATTATACAACTAAGGATTTCATCATATCAATCCAATTGAAAATCTATCCCTGAGTCCCCCAACGTCGCACGCATTTTGCCCCGGAGTTGCATCAGTTTCTTCTGCAGCCGCTCGCAGCGGGGACAGCGCGGACAGCGCAGACAGCGCAAAGGGCGCCGTCGCTGAGGACTTGATGTGGGAAGGACTTGTGCTTCCGACCTGCCAGGTCTGCCAGGTCTGCCAGGTCTGCCAGGGCAGTGTTTGTCTGCAGTCACAGGCACATCGCGATGTAGCTGATGGCAAATCATCTTTCTATTGAGCGCCAAACACAGCACGTCATGCACATCATGTCATAGCACATCAACTGTTGAATTCTATGAGTTATTCAAAGTACACCCAAAAGTTCCGATGCTGATTCATTCAGGTGATTCTGTCGGTTACTTGGGTCTCCAGACGCTTCAGTGTCCTCTGAGATGAAAGGAAACAAAGGTCCATGGCAAACCTCGACCACGGCACCAATGTTTCTGGCAGCTGAAGCACGCGATGTTGCAAACATGTTCTTCACTATCCTTGCAAAGGAAAAGGACTCGAACCCCACACTGTGTCTATCTGACATCTACAACCAGCTTGGCATAGCCTGGTGCATCCAAAACGAGCATCCATGCAACTCCACAAACCAAACTCTGCCTTAGCCTGGGTCAGCTCTGCCACACGCATCTGGCGCTGAAAGGAATTGGATGTTGCCATAGGCCATAGGCTAAGAGGGTCAAGAAGCAAAACCTGAATGAAGAACTGTAAAACTATTGTGTCGAAAAGGAATATCAACCAATGAAACCACTACTCACTACTATTTCATGATGCTCAGATTTGCCACAAGAAACACAATTCCGATCCAAATCCATCCCATCACCTCCAGTTTCCTCTTTTCTTCGCCCTGCTGCTCCTTGGAGTCTCAAGCTTGTGAAAATCAAGGAATGTCGTACAGTACGTCGTACAGCTTCATAATTTACCGCCAAGATTCAACCCGTGCTCCACAGCGATGCATTCGGCTTGTGAGACCATTCAGGCGTACAACGCTCTCCTGGTGTGGCTGCGGCTTCCTGGAATCTCCCCAAATGGTAACATGGTGTGAAATCAGGTAGATAGTACAGTACAGGGTAGATAGTATAGGGGTGTGATCCTCATTGATTTTACCACACTGTTTTGCTGAGACAAGAGCTCGGCAAGTTTCAGCGTGCAGCTTCGGCTCCTGTATGTGTTGCTTCACATATACCTGTGCGGACTGTGCGGATGACACATTTCCAGGTGATCCATGTCATATATGTCATACGCTCAGCCGCTCCGCCGCTCAGCCAACAACGTCATCGCCTGGTCAGCTCTTAGGGAATGGAGGTCCTGACCTTGGTTCAAATCGCCCAACCATCGGGGATTGGATATAAACATAATATAGTGGAATATATTGGATATAAATGGATGTTTATCCCCCCAAGTATGGGGAAAAATATGATGTTTATCCAAACAAAATATGATATTGGTTGACATTATTCTGAGTTGTGACCCATAGCCATCTAAAAACGCAAGAGCGAGACGCTGCGAAAATCTTTTTCTTCCCGTCCGATGAGGTCTGACGTCGAACTAATAGTGTCATAATTCAGTGAGATCTGCTCGTGCTTTGCTGATGATGTGAGACAGCCTCCGGCCAAGGATGCCCATTGCACTTGGCACAAGCTGCAGAAGGCAAGCAGGATCCTTTTCACCACCTGCATTTGGATCTCCCCAAGCAACGATGGTTCCATTTCCTAACTGGGCGGCAAAGGCTGCACTGGTGGCATGGATTTGCTGAACGTTCTGTAGCTTCTCGTGGACCCTGCTGCTGTCACCACCGAAATTGGGATGTCCCCAGGTAACCACAGTTTCATCTGACAGGAGCGCAGCAAATGCCAGACGAGTGGCCTGAATTTGTTTCACCCCTTTGAGGCGAGTTTGAACGTGAGCACAGCAGCCGCCTTGATTGGAGAGGCCCCATGTAACGACCTCACCATTGGATAAAATGGCCGCAAAGGCAACCTTATTGGCTTGTATCTCTTTCACATTCTCGAGCTGAGCAGCAACTTTGCTAGAGTCACCCCCAGAATATGGACACCCCCACGTAACGACCTTGCCATCAAAAAGGATAGCGGCGAAGGCGTTTTGGGAAGCTTGAATTTGTTTCACATTCTGTAGTGGTTGAACAAGGGAACTGTCACCACCATTCTTAGGGTTTCCCCAAGTGATAACAGATCTGTCAGACAAGATTGCAGCAAAAGCACCACCAGTGCTTTTTATCTGCACAACATTTTGCAAACGAATTTGGACTCTTCTGCTCACAGCGCCAAGGTCTTTATTGCCCCATGTAACCACTCGCCCATCTGCAAGCTGTGCGGCAAATGCTCCCCTGGTCGCCTGAATCTGCTGGACGTCTCTGAGCTGTTCTTGCACATCATCACTGCAGTCAGAAGCAAGTGGGTTGCCCCAGGACACTACACTTCCATCCTTTCGAATTGCTGCAAAAGCACCCTCAGCCGCTTGGATATGGTGAACTTCTGTGAGTTGCCCTTGCACTTCCTGACTATTGCCACCTAAGCGATCACTGCCCCAGGTCAAGACACGTCCGTCCGCGCGCAGAGCAGCAAAGGCGGTGCCGTCAGACTGAATTTCTTTGACGTTTTTCAATTCATGTTGGACCTGGCTCTGGGTCAAAGCACTCGCGCCCTTACGTAGCTGGCAAATGGATGTTCATCCACCCAGTCATGTGGAAAATCAATGAAAACCGTAGATTTTGACATATTATGGGCGAACATGGGGTTTAGTGTGAGGCCCTGTTCTAGAAGTTTGTGCCTTGAAACAGTGACTTTCTTGGGGGTCCCAAATTTGGAGCTTGCGGTGTCTTCCGCAAAGAGCGCGGTCTTGTTTCTGGGACCAAAATTGGACGCGCGTTTATGTCTCAAAGGCATGTTTGCGAGAGTGTTTTTCCTTGCTAGACACAGACATTCGAACATGGCGGCGTGGCAACATGGCAAAAGATTGGAGGCAAAGGACGGGCCAATGCGTCATGTTGTGGGTGTGCTTGGAACACCTGAAGCCATGCTATTGTATACAAATATATATATATATATGATTTGCACGATTGTTGCATGAAGATTCCATTGCAATTTCCTTCCAGCTGCCTGGTATGAATCCTTCCGTTTGCTTGCAACGTGGAACCATGTGAAAGCATCAAGATCCCATCCATTAAGGGTCATGTTAAGTGAGGAGGGTAGGGAAAGTGTTTGTGCCATTTGATTTACTCTGGAAGCTCAGGGAGGTTGCTGGGCGAGGACGCCCTTGGTGATTCATGTGGCCAGGCACCCTTCTTCATCCGAACATCGTGAGGTGGGAAAAGGCGCAGAGCGTTCTTCGGGTGGAGACTTGGGATTCAGCTACCTTTGTGAGGCCTCTCACAATACGTATATATATATATATATACACGTATATGTATATATATATATATATAGTATATATAGTGTGTATATATATATAGTATATATAGTGTATATATATATAGTGTATATATATATATATAGTATATAGATATATAGTATATATAGGTTATATATATATATATACGTATATAGTATATATATAGTATAGTATATTATACTATAGACTTATACCCCCAAATGGTTACCTTTTCCAGGGAATTTTGAAACATTCCCAGCCTCACGGCTGTCGCCCCCGGCGACAGGATTGCCCCAAGTCACCACAGATCCGTCCTTGAGGATGGCAGCAAATGCTCCATTTGAGGCCTGAACCTCCAGATGTCGCCGCTTCAACCGTTCTGTAGACATGTCCAGCATGCATATATCATCATATATCAGGTGGAAAACATGTGTCCATGCCTCAGAATGATAAATACCTCCAACTGAAAGATCTGAAAGCAAAATGTGTGTCTGAAAATGTTCATGATTTATCGGTGTATCATCCCTTTCCCCATTGAAATTGCCATAAATTGCAGGCCAATCAGCCCCTGTTTTTTCGGACAACAAACCATGGTCTCCAGGTCCAGCCTTCTCTACATCTTTGAGCTTCCCTGCCACCTTGCTGACATCACCACCCTCGTTGGGATTGCCCCATGCCACAGCGCCATTGCTGGAGGACCAGCACAGAAAAGCGAAGTCAGTGGCCGCCAACAAGGGCACTTCAGCGATGGCCATCAAGATATCTCCATCGCTGACATCGAGGTCAACCAGAGAATCTTCTGGATTCAAAATGTTTCCAGCTTTGGATAAGGTCAGGGAATAAATCTGCAAAGCATCTTTTGCCGCTGCGGTCAGAACACTGACTCGGCATTGTTTTGAGATGGAAATCGACTCACATCGGCCGCTGACCAAAGCCACCTTGATCGTTATCTTCTCGGTGACATCGTCCATTGCGCGGCGAAATCATCCACGAGCCAATGAGCAAAATGATGACTTGACGGATGTTAATATATAGTTATATTCTACATTTATCATATGGTATATTCTGCATTCATATGCCTTGCAGTCGCTGTGTCGTCTGTGAGTCTCTTTGGCTGAACCTTCGAACCCCTCAGCTGACCGCTGAAAAGAACACGGTCCAGCGCACGACTCTGCACACAGGACATACAAAGGTCTCTGATACCGTTGATAGATGATGATGTAAGATGATGTAAGATGATGTAAGATGATGTAAGATGATGTAAGATTTACATGTTACATGTGTATAGACTGTATAGAGTCTCACCCTGTCTCACTGCGAGAGAAAATAAAGCCCAACTGCTCATGGCTCCCCATCTTCACGCCACTGGCCCTGAGTTTCCGACCTGCCAATTCAAGGGCCTGCAGAGTGAGCCTCCAATGCCAGATGCCGCTGGGAATCATCACCAGATGCACTTTGGCAGTGCTTCAATCATCACCTCATCAATCAATATCAAACAATATCATGTCAATATCATGTCAATTCATGTCACATGTCAATATCAAACAGAATGGCTTGTTTTAAGCAGGCAATCCAGCCCGGTGGTCCTCGCATGTCCTCGCCTTTGAAAGCGCCGTTTCGCATGGGCGAAGTCTTCACTCATTGCTCCGCGCACGGAAAACTGATGAAATACCGAAGCAAAAAGGAACATGATGGAACATGAAGTACCAATTGAAGACAAAAAAACGTACTAAACGTACTAAAGGATTTCTTGATATTTGATGATATTTGTACATTATCCCATTGCCATGGCAACACAATGGAAGCTTTCGAAGATGACACGCCATGTTGAATCCTGCGAATGGGCGATTGATATCTATTGATGCTGCCGTTGATCCTCTCGCCGCAAAGTCAGCAGCTTTCAGATTCGTTGCTTCGCATGCGAATTTCAAGGCTTTCCATGGCTTTCCTGAAGTCCAAAAAAACTGCTTATCTACCCTTGGGTAAACATAGCTGGGCTGGGAAATCCCAGTTCCATGTTTGCCGGAGGGTCACATGGCATTGCTGTCACCTCATTTGTTCTGTCGCTTTGCACCGGCAAATTGGCTATGTAGATCTGTGTAGTCAATACATGACGAAACTACGTTGCTCAAGCTGGTGTGGCACTGTCTGCCATGTAAAAGAAACTACCTGACTATGTGACTATGCGGCCGGCACTTTGGCGCAGCAAAGTGCTCGTTCAAACACAGATAGTTGTGGATGTCTTAGTGAAGTCAGTAGATGTCTTCGGTGCCTTTGATGTCTTTGCACCATATTTTTTCTTTAATCTTTCCATGCCATCCTGGTCACTGTTCGTCCCAAGAGGCATCACTTTGCTCACGTGGTCGACAGACTCCGAGTCACCAGCATGGTTCAGGAGCAAGTTCACAACTTTGTCATGACCACTTTCTGCTGCAAAATTCAGCGCAGTCATTCCACTGCAGGTCAGAGCTGCCACATCAGCACGGTACTCCAGCAAAAGCTGTGTAACAGCTGCGTGACCGTCCAAGGCTGCCCCCATCAAAGGAGTCATGCCATCATCCTCTGCAGCCAAGACATCTGCGCCATGCTCCAACAACAGCTTGGCTACGGCGGTGTGACCACCTAAAGCCGCACCCATCAAAGCGGTGGTGCCATCCTCCTCTGCTCTCAGCACGCTTGCGCCGTTCTTCAACAGCAGCTTCACTACAGCTTCATGGCCAGCGAGAGCAGAGTGCATCAAAGCTGTGGTACCATCGATTTCAGTGGCTTTCACATCGGCGCCATGGTCCAACAGTAGTTGCACCACTGCTAGATGACCACCCAAGGCAGCTCTCATCAAAGCAGTGGTACCATCACTGTCGGCAGCTGCCACATTGGCACCATGCTCCAGCAACAGCCGGCTAACTGCCTGCTGACCACCATTGGCAGCATGCATCAGGGCGGTGTTGCCCTGCCAAACCATCTCAGTGTCCGCACGCAAGTGCAGCAAAAAATGAACGGTGTCCAGCCGCTCGTCGCGCGCGTTCGCATTGAGAAGCTGGCTTAGCCAACCAGGCTGTTCCTCTGGAGAAAGCTGGTCATAGATCTGTTGAAATTGCTCCTTTGTGAAGCAAGCGCCATGCGCACAGCACCGCGCTGCAGATTTGATATATTGGTGGCTCAACAAGAAGAGCAGCAAAGATGTGGAGAGCAGCGACTGAATGTATCTGTCAAAATCTGTCAGCCAAAAGTGGCTTTCCTCAGGAAGTTCATCGGAATGTTGCATATTGCAAAGAAGGGTGTACATTCCACGAATGACCTTGCGGCTACCTGGGTTGGCAATTTCTTGCCAAATGTGAACCTTGTCTTCTATCACTGAGGCTTGTGCTTTGATGGCTGACACTGTCCACAAAGATTCGACCGTGGCTTGCAAAATGCGCTTCATGGCATCAGGTTTGGCCTTGAAGGCTCCTTCCAAGCTCCCAGGTCTGGATAGGGAGCCCATTTCACAGATCAACTCAAATGGTTGATTGAGTTCTTTGAGGCGGGACACCTCCAGGGCCACTTCCTTGCTTAAACATGCTTTAAAGATCTTTAAAGGAATCCAATTTCTTACTGATGTTTAAACATGTTTAAACCAAATATGTGTAACATTGTGCAACCATACCGCTGTTGATTGGTGATGATAGGATATTATAGGTGGTTATGCTACCGAGTCGATGTTTATTGGTTATAGCCTGATCATAGGGGTGTCTAACTCCACCTCCATGTTTCAACATTCCTCGAAGGTCTCCCATGCAACGTTTAGACGTTCTTTGGGGAATCTCTGTAAACGTGTTTAAACATGTTTAAACAGTTGGAAGTTTAAACAATTTAATATGGTTTAACATGTAAACTTTAGCCCAACCCTGCCTCAAAAAGGCACCAGATTCTCTTAAAGGGGTTGATGTCTTGGTCCAGAACCATCACTGCACCACCTGTGGCTTTGGCAATTGCTGCATTGAAGGGTCCTTGCATCGGACTGTCTCCTACTTCGTCAGCCACATCGTGCTGATTCACGGCAAAGAGGCAAATCCAAAAGACCACAGCCTTTGGGCAGGCAGTGCCCGCAGTGCCCAACGTAGTGGTTGACGCAGTCCCTGCGTCCGATCGTTGGTAATGCTCAGCCCACAGCCGAAGAGCTGTGACGGTCTCACTGAACAACTTCCCCCAGAAGTGGGACACAAAGCAATGCACAATGAGACCATTGGGGTTCAGCAACGAGGAAAATGACATCTTGTCAGTTGCTGGTGGCACACTCCCTGTACGATCCTGTTCTCTAGCTGCACAATGGCCAGGTTTCGACATTGGACTGACCACATAGGCATCCAGAGAATACAAGTTGCATACTCGCTGGAAGAAACCTTTCTCTTTTTTACGGATGGCATCCGCATGCTTTGCATTGTAAGCATCGCACTGTGCAGCAAGCCACCCGGATTGGATGAACAATGCCTCCAGGTGTTGCAGTTGCCCCAGGGCCATGCCGCGCAACGACTGGGGAACGGTTGGTCGAGTTCTCTCAGATGGCAGAACTGGCTCAGCTACAACCTCTGCGAAGCGCTCCTTGCTGGCGCGCTTGGCTCCAGCCATCAGTTGCCGTAGCCTCTCTGGTGACAACTTCATGCCGAAAGCCCGGGCAGCGTGGCCCAGCTCGTGCATATCCAAATCACCAGAACCATCCAAGTCGCAGCATTGCGCCACGAAGTGTGGATCCTTCAACTTCTGTTCTAGGTCCGAACTCACCCGCAGCAACTCCGTTTCCCAACTCACTGAGCTGCTAGTAGAACCACCTGACTCCAGATCGGTTGAACGGGTTGAACTCAACCTCTCATGCAGCCCTCGTTTTCTGCGGTCAGTCTTTTGGTCGCCTTCGCCATCAGACAGGTGCAGCTTCAAGCTGGAACCAAGCAGGGACGGGAGAGGTTTACCTCGGGGCGCTGCAGTTGTCTTGCTACAGCTGCAGCCCATGACTGCCTCATGCAACCACCACAGTGGTTTTCAAAAAACACTGCAAACCGCGGCCTGGCGACCCAGTGGCAGGAACGGAGCCAAAACTTCACCAGTCGCACAGTGAAAGCAAGGTGGAGCATGGAAATTTATGGCAATGTTTGACAGGCAGATCAATCTCGCTCCCTCAACGTCATTTTGATGCAACCATGTCAAAGCTTGTCACAATCCCCTCCACATCTTTTCTCTTCTGCAGATCAAGGGAGTGAATCTTGCTAAGGTGCCGAAAATTGATTAAAAATTGAATTTATGTTGAAGACATGAATGATGGAAGGTTTGTCCTTATCTTCAGATGGAGATTTTAGGGTCAATCCAATCTCCTCGGTCCATCATTTCTCAACTCTAGACGTGAGTGTCTTGGGAAGGCAGGCGAAGCAAAGGTTGCTGCAATGAAGACTCGTGGCACTTCCCAAAAACCTTGCGACTCACCATCCAATTGCAACAGCTGGGCAACAGCTCCGGAAGCTTCGGGATTCCAATTGCGACTCGCCATAGCCTCAACGGCCTAAACCTATCGATGAAATGGTCACTTTGTTTGGGACTCAACAGGTCTCAACGTGCAGGGGACAAAGTCTGGACCATCTCCGAGTGCTTGTACCGCACAGGTCGTTGGAGCACTTCGGTTGGGGATTTCTAACGCCAAGAAAATCCCTCAGCGAGTGACTCTTCTCGCTTAAAAAGTCAGGCTCTTCTTGCAAGTTACTCCGAGAAAATCTGGTGTGCCAAGATTTTGTTTCAACGGAATGAAATCCTCTCATTTCATACCATGTCAGGGGTGCCAAGGGTGTTCCATTTTGCTTGCTATCCATGGACTAGAGCTGACAAGTCATTACGTCTGAAGAAATATTCCAATGATTTGCATAGAATCATGTGCTCAAGCCTCTCAAGCCTCTCACTTGTCCGGTCGCTCAAAAAAGGAGAAGGGAGCTTGGGTATCATATTCCGGCCTAACGCAGAAGGACTAGGCTAATAGAATGCAGGGTGATGATACTTTCTCATGGGAGCGCGAAATTCTGCTTAACACAGAATGTCCCAAAGGGGGGAAAAGATGTTTCATGCCGTGGCGTGAGCAATCAGCAGATATGGCAGACATGGGACATTGAAGTGCATGATCAGGTCGTTCATAACCCTCATGTAACAATCCAACAACCGACAGCCAATTGTAGTTACAGCCACAGCTATGGAGAATCGAAACTCCACTGCAGTACATCAAGTCGATAGTAAGAAATGATTGCATCCTGATGTTCAGCGGCAAAATATATGTTCAAATGGCATAGCAAGCTGCAGCAACCCAGCCTCTCTGGCTCTTCAGCTACCAGAGCGTAGATGCTTGTTAAGGTGAACAGGAAGGCAGCTGGCAGACCACGACGGTGAAGCCAAAGCAGGTTGTGTTTTTTTAACGATGCTCGAGAGATCAAAAACATTCAAAAACAATTATTGATGAACTTAAAACATTCAAAAAGAATTATTGATGAACTTATTCACTTGATGTATTCATTATAGTGTAGCATGCACTTATTCACACTTTTGAGACATGCACTTGGAAGATCCTGAAATTCGGTGGCTCACTGATCCTGCTAGCAAAAGCTCGAGATGTCACATCAATTCACAGTATTCTGCCCTTCTGGAAACCTCTTCAGAAACCTCCAAGAAAATATGATAGTAGTCAATAGTAGTCAGTATATTACTATGATATACTATGATACTATATTACTATGATAGTAGTCAGCATTGCCCCACTCTCCGCCTGCTACCCCCACGTACACGAAGATGGGATCCGCTTCGGGCTCTGTCACCTCACCACTTCAGTCACACTGTAAAGTGGTTTCTTGTAATATATGTATATATATATACATAAGAATCATACATCTGTGCATATCATACTATGTATAACATTATGTAATTAACTATGTATTATACTATTATATATAGAGTATATATATTATATATATAATGTACACATATGTATACAGTATGTAGATTCGAAGTATTCCAAAGAAATCGTCCCAGGGCTCCCTGCACCAACGAACTCCACGTCGTAGACCAAATCTCCAGGAGGTCCAGGGGCCTGAGATCCAGGGTTTCGGCCGGGGGTGTTTTACATGGAAGGGATTAGAAAGTACATGCATCGGAAAATGGTATAATATATAGGGATATAATATATAGTGTGTATATATATATATATATTATATTAGTATCATGATTATTATTGTTATTATTATTGTTATTACAGTATTATTATTACTATTATTATTAATTATTATTATTATTAATATTCTCATTATTATTATATTTATTATTGTTATTATTGTTGTTATTATTATTGTCATTATTATCATTATTATTACTATTATTATATATATATATGTACATATTATATACACATTATACTAGTAATATATGTGTTTCTTCAACCCCCACAGATACGTCTTGAACTTTCGATTTTCCCAGCCTCCTCTTCGTCCATACCGTCCTGACCAGGTGGCTATGGCCCTTCTGGAAATGGTAAAAATTCACTCAACCTACTTTTTGGTCGTTCAATAGGAACTCTAACAACAGTCAGTTCCTTTGGAAAGTACGAACATGCCTCCGCCCAGAAAGACTCTCTAGCATCATGCCAGCATCATGCCAGCATCATGGCATATCCAGCACATCCAGTTCTAGCCCAAACCAGTCCGTGACAAAGCCCAAGTCTGCGGGGATCCAAAACCTGGGATCTGACATCGACATCGACTGGACCATACTGGACCAATGGTTGATGAAAAATGGATGGCTGGAAGGTGCCACCAGCAACTTCTTCAAATAGATTTAAGAAACAGATTTAAAAATGGATGGTTTCGGAGTAGAAATGGATTGCGTCAGCATTTTTCTGCCCCGGAATCAAGGTCCATGCCTTCGCTTCTCGCCCGGTGACATCATTTGCAGACCCTCCTTCCAGCCTGGTCCAGTGGATCTCTTGATATTGGCGATCTTGGGCATGTGAATCAGAAGTTGCGGAGTCTATGTCGCAGCATCAAAGGCCCTTGGTCAAAGGCCCTGGTACACAGCAATATACAGCAATTAAAATGTGCCAAATCTGGACAACCATCAACCTGCATCCCTCCTGCCTGGAATGACGCTAGTCATCTTCACTTTGGTGTCCCCTTGTCGCAAGTATGAGCCTCAAATTCCCAGACATAATGGTGTGTTGATCATTTGTAGGAAACCATAGGAAACCCACAACACTCGAATCTCCCCCTATATTCAACACATTCCGGGACATCACCGATGCGTCATACTGCTACCTGAACCATCTGAGACCATCGGTGAGGACAGACTGGACCAAGCAAAACTGCTGCGCTTCCCTGCTATCAATCAGCTGTCCATCTCCTGCCCTCCAGCCAGTATACCTGGTGGCCACATCCGGTAAGAAAAGAAAGCAGTTTTCAGTTCTGGACAATATAACCATATATGAACCATATATTAACCATATATAAACCATATATCAACCATATAATGTGGATAAATAATTTTAAATAATGGTTAATATATGGTTTGCCAGAATCAGATGAATCGATGCAACGGCCTCACCAGCACCGTGTCCGAGAGCAGGGGTGGGCTCCTCAGCACAGCACGCAAGCGTTCTTGGAGAGTTGACTCTAGCTGATCTCCTAGCTGATCTCCTAGCTGATCTCCTGAGAGCACTCCTCATGGTTCCTCAATTCCTCAATTTCCAACTCAAAGTTGCAAGAAATTCGCCCATGAATATCCAGAATATCCTCACCTAGCATCGTGGCTTTCCTTACTTCGTGAATTGGTTCATGCTGCGGCTTCACTTCCCCGACGTTGATTGATCACTCTTCATCGGCATGCTGATGTGAAACATCATAACAACATTGACATTTGTCAAGGCTGTGGTTCAAATTTGGAGTCAGTCAACAAAGTCATCTATAGTAGAATCGATAGTACAATCGATAGTATAATCGATAGTATAATCTATAGTCATTCTAAAAACAAAAGTGATCAATAGAGTCGCCCATCATCCAACATCCAATCTGCCCCACAAAGGGTAGCCCGGGTAGCCCTGCCCTTGACCCTTCTCCAAGACTTGCCAAGCCAGGCCAGTGGAACTCCTATGGGAGGTCTCAATGAAGATCCAGGGGACCGCAGACGTTAGTCACTTAGTCTATTTTTGGGTATTAACCAACATTAACCATCTATAATAAGTATTGGGGTACCATGGGGTACCCAATTTTCACTACCATCACGTTTTGAGAGTTGCAGGGAACTCAAGTTCCACCGTATTCCACCCAAATGTGATGTCAACTCACCCAACAAAGCCCTCCTTTCGCACATCACTGGTGCTTGGAGTTCCGGGGGATCGAAGCGGCTGGGAGCGGGAGAGCCTGGTCCCAATGGAATCCCGGAATCCCCAGAAACAGCGATGTCCGCGGGCCGCTGATCTGATTGGGTATGGCTCAATATGATAAAAGGATAGCATAGGATAGCGAGGAAGAGACCAGAAGGAGCTGAACAAACTATGACATGTGCCTTCATGAGGATGCTCATCCTCGCCAAACATGTGGAGTCAAACTTGGAAATCCATCAGTTTTAAACATGTGTGTTAGTGTGGTAGGCCCACTGCCATAATCCATCCCCAATTTCACCGGAAATGGATAGCTAAGTTCACGGACCCAGAGAACCAGGCTCCAGGCCAGCCTTCAGCAAATCGAACAAGCTGTGATGCCTTGGAAGCTGACCCAAGCGGTTTGCTGTGTGCTTTGAAGGGAACATCTAGAGAAAACCAAGAGGAAACCACAGTTTCTATTAGCCAGATATATTTAAATTGATTCAAATATCATCAAATATCGGGATTCCATGGTTTCTTGGAAACTTTCCCTCGAAACAATTCTGTCCATTACCCCCATGCTTTCAAGGCTGCTCTGAATACCGGCTATCTCAGAAGACCTACAAGCGTTTAAGCAATGTTTTTCTCTTGCTACTCTACGTCTACCAAATTGATATCGGATGTTTGGAACCTCCTGACACTTCTTGAAAAAAACCGAACTTTACTGGGGATCCGCACTCGTGGTATGGGCGCCTAGCATGAGAATCAGTCGGAAACACTCAAGAAGTCACCACATCAGATGGGTCTCACCTCCGGGCGGCTTTTTGCTTCGCCCAAATGGTCTGATATTTGGTCTATTTGGTTTTCATGATAAAGTGACGGCTTGGCTCTAGTCTCCTGAAAAAAAACAACGAGGCTGAAAGGGATATGTCTGCTGCCACCTCAAGTCACTTAAATTCAATAGATATGCCAGGAGGAAAAACATGGAAAAAGAGGTCCATGACCCATGCGACATCTTGATGATGGATGTACGCGGTGAAACCAGGTCCCAAATTTGCACCTTCGGCGCCGTGAAATTCAGCTGCCTGCAAAGCACCTGGGATTGTGCCAGTGACTGCAAGCTGTCCGTATGATTCGAATAAGGCGACATCTTGGATGAGTTTAAGGCTTCAGCTCACACATTGGTTCCACAAATCTTTGCCAGAGCTGGGTGAAGGCAAGGCCAAGCGTAATCTGCTAATCTTTCGATGTCGTCCAAACCGGTTGGGAACAGCTGGGACTTGTGATCTTGATGCTATCTAACTTAAAGGGACTCCAGACGAGGGCCGCTCTTGATGTGCACAGTTTGTGCGTTCCCCAAGGAAGTGACAAACGACTACAAAGGAGAGTGACAAACGATTGCAAAACAAGAAAAGTTTCTCATTTGAAAAGGTATTCGGAAAATGTGAGAGTTGACAGAGTTTACAGCCTCTTTTTTGCACGCTTCCAGCGCTTACAGCCCACAACACGGGCTTGTCCAGTTGGCGGCCACTCTACCACGCGGAGGAGCCAAGTGAGGCTGTGATTGAAACCAGAAATTCCTTACTGAATAACTAGAGGACCATAGAAGAGTAGAATATAGCAGAATGCTGCTTCCGGTTTCACAACAGCATTCAAAATGCTGTTACCAAAGTCATGAAACCTCAGTGCTTCCAATATCTTCCAATGATATCAATGATGGACACTATTTAGCCATAGAACAGCTGACTCTCCGCTATTTCTCATGGGCAGCGTCCGTTCGGTTGGTATTTTTAACGCTTGGCAGGGAGCCACCAGGCGCAAAATCGCAGGTGGGGTACGTCACCGAGCACTCCCAAATCGAACGGGGTAAAAGAATGTGATGAATGTGTGAAAATCCATTAAGAAAAAGATGCAGTAGAAATCCATAGAAATCCATAGAAATCCATAGAAATCCATGGGAATCGGTTCTTTTCTTCGATATACTTCGGAGTTTACCCTGCCAGCCACGACCTTTGCCGTGCCGCGCCACATCTGCCACCGCACATCCACCGAGACGATTTCGACAGGAATGAAGGATGCTGAAGGTTGGGCCAGCTGTTGCTGTTCCATGTTTTCCGGTGTTTCATGTTGTTTCATTGTTGACATCAATGACCATCCCATACCATCCCCAACGGTTGCTACCTCCGGCGGCCAAGCTTCGCAACTCGAGGTCGCCAAACTTCGGTGGTCTTATTCCATTGGCTGTAGCGGTAATATGGCTGTGTTGTTCCAAACTTCGGTAGTCTCTCATAGTCTCTGTCTCTCAGAATCAAACGGACACAAAAACATCTACAGTACCGATAGTGTTCTGATAAGAGTGTTCCATACTGCCGCAGTTCCGCATTCCTCGGTTCAGGAGCATCACGCCGATACCCTGGGAGGACGCAAAGGGCTGTCAAATGTGTAGCACCCCAGTTGTTGATTTCATGGAACACGGACTGATTTGCCATGCAAAGCCATTCCAGGGACGGAAATTGTATGCGAAAGTTCAAAGTAGTTCAAAGGACGCAAGTTGTCTTGACTTTTTCAGGCAGCGTTGGGGCATGTTCGGACAGTTTTTGTTGAGTGAGTGCCAGCAAACACCAGTGCCTTCCGGCTGTGCTAGAAGCTAGGCATAGGCATGGCGCCGGTCTCGTAGGGCTCTGCACCTGGGCGATGATGTGAACACAGGATCTAACTGGGCATCCGATGTTTAAATAACGTTTATATGATTTATATGGGTTGATATCCCATTGTATGGCACGTTCAATGGCAAAATCTTCAAATGTTGATTGATCAATAACATGAAACAAAGCCCCCCGCACTTGTAACGTCCCAAAAAAAGTCCCAGATCAGGGTCCAAGTCGCGAATGTTGTTGGGTTCGGATGCTTTGCCATAGCCTGGATCAACGTGACCTGCCGCAAAAAGATCACAGCAGTCGGGGTCGTCTGGTGTCGCCAATCCAAATGGCTATGGCTTCACAATTATCACATCAAACCCTTCAAGAAAATATCACCACGAATTCTGCAGGTCTACACCCCAATTTTGACCCGTACCGTAGTACCGACGGTATCTTCTTTAAAAATGTGCCAAATTTCTTCCATGCGGCCGCCTCCGAAATCTCCTTTTCCGCCACCGCCACCTCCTTTGCCTGCTGTTGCACCGGTGACCTTGGTGGCAGATGGCACCCCCAGAGGCGTCGACGGGACACAGAAGGTCTTGATGTTCTCAACATGTCAATATGTGTCTCAAAGTCTCATTTTTTTGTTCTTTTTATCCACCATCATGGTGTTTAAGTTAGAGAAGAATTTTGAGAAAAAAAAAACAAAACATGGTCCGTCGCTGGTTTCCAACTGGTTGGGTTTTGATGTCCGTTGATGTCACGATCTCCCCAAGGAAGATCAACGAAGCAGATCTGCCGTCCGAGGTGCGCTGGTGGCCTAGGTGGTCGGCCGTTTTAGGAAGCAAACAACTGGCACAGAGCACATGGAGAGTTTGCAAGATCGAGAAGCTATACGTGCAGATCATTCAAAATCAAATCAACATCATCTTTGATTTCAAGGTTACAGCACGAAAGCGTGCCGTGTCCGTCCAATGTTTGAAATGATTTGCTCAGCCATTCAATGTCTTTGCAGAATCAGCACTGAGCAATTTGCTGTGTATTTGTTCTTCTGCGCATTCCACTGGGCCTGCAATCCATGTCGCTGTGGCAAGTCCCTTGTCCTTTGATGTTACCCAAAAAATGCTAAGAAAACATACATCCCTCGCAACAAAGACCCATGTGTCCAACTATGTACAGTATATACCAACACTAGCTGGTTCAAACACCTATTTTTTTCATAGACACCAACCAAGACAGACTACTTAGGGCCCTAGGGGTGCATCCCAGTAGTGGGTAGTAACTATATCACACTATTATACCTCAGTTGTATTATATAAACATATAAATGTGGAATATTCTCATATGTGTATTGGTATTATTTATAGTATATAATATATGATATATAATATATGTATATGATAATATAATATATATAATATATAATATATATAATATATATAATATATAATATATATATATATAATATAATTTATATAATATATATAATACATATAATATATATATATATATTATTATATATAATATAATATATAATATAATATATATATATTATTATATATAATATAATATATATATATATTATTATATATATTTTATATTATAAATATACAAGATATAATATATAATATATAATATATAATATATAATAAATATATCTTATAATATATATATATTATTATTATATTATATTATATATAATATATAATATATAATATATAATATATAATATACAATATATATATAATATATAATATAAACCATATAACAAATAATATATAAAATATAATATATAAAATATAATATATAATATATTGTATATATAATATATATAATATAGATAATATAATATATATATAATAAATAATATATATAATAAATAATATAATATATATATAATAAAATATAATATATATATAAATATTATATTATATATAATATATAATATATATTATATAATATATATAATATTTAATATATAATATATAATATATAATATATGATATATAATATATAATATATAATATATAATATATAATATATAATATATATAATATATAATGTATAATATATAAATATAATTTATAATAAATAATATATATATTATGAAATATATAATATATAATATATATAATATATAATATATATAATATATAATATATATAATATATATAATATATATAATATATATAATATATATAATATATAATATATATAATATATATAATATATATAATATATATAATATATATATATATTATATAATATATAATATATATAATATATATAATATATATAATATATATATATATATTATATATAATATATAATATATATATAATATATATAATATATATAATATATAATATATATATATACATAATATATACATACTATAACAATCACTTACAATGCCTGGGACATCAGGATGAATCCATGGCGACAGTTCAGGGCTTCCGTGCAATGTAGCTGACCGCGGCATTTTGCGTCAAGGACTGGCCATCGGTGAGGGCGGTCCTGCCGTAAGGAAAGCTGTGAGTATGGCTCGAAAAAGTAAAGAAAGGAAAACAAGATATTGATATAACGAGGTAAAGCATTAAGTTATGTCATGATTGGTACTAAAACATCTAATTGTCAAATTGATCTTGAGGTTAGAGAGTTTTTGAGCCTAAAGTTGAGAAATTGATGTTTGGGAACTCAGGCGAGGCACCTGTGGACATAGCAGTCGTCACCTCCTCCGTCGGGAGTAAGGAAACCGAAGCCTTTGTCCTCGAACCACACCTGTCAATGTCAGATCAGGTAGCACTGATACCATCAACACCTAAAACTGTAAGGCAAGGGGGCGTTCAAAGGAACAAAGGTACATATATAGATACGTATAATTTTACACTGTAGGATTCGGTGTTGCCGGGTGCCTTTAGAGCATCATTCTGTAGTACTTGGCGTCACTGTCCTAAACCTCCAACCAGCCTTGACGGTGCCAGATTGCTGCACTGGTGGCCCTTCCAATCCTCCTGGCTCACTTAGCTTGACTGGGTGAGCACAAGACTCAAGGGCGTTGCTGCCCGCAGAGAAATTCCGGTGGCAAAACCATCCTTCATGGCTATCAAACGCAGGAGTATGATCTTAAGAACACGGTTGTGCATTCTTCACAAACCTTTGTGGATCCTTGTGGTCACTTCCAAAGATGGAAGCTCCATGAAGCTCCTAAGAATTCAATTCGTCACAGGTCTGAAGTCAGCAGGATGTGTGAATTATGATGAGTCAGACTTGGGTTCCAAAGAAAGACTCCATGCTCCATGATGATTCCCTATGGCGGGAGTCCTAATCCAAATATATCCAAATCCTCCCCCGCAGGTGTTGGATTGCTCCTGGACCTCCTGGACCTCCTCCTCCGCAGCCACCCATGCAGCCGCCCATGCCGCCACCCATGCCACCCATGTGCCCACCCTGCAGGAATTGCTGTGAAACATTGCGCATGGGACACCGCCATGGTTCTGTTTGGGATGCATTCGGAATTCATGGAAGACTCTGTGGCAAATCTGCTACAACCTGCTCTTCTCGCACAATCAACTTCACATGGAATAAATTGGAACAACACATGTGAAAGTTGGCTCACATTCGTGCAGAGAAGCAGAACAGAAAAATCAATGGCTCCGTGGTTTCGGATCTTCACTTCAGAGGCACCTTGTCGCCTTTGCCCCAGCCCTGGCATCACGGAGTCAAGTGCTTCGACAGGTATGGGCTTCGTTCTCTGCATCCGGACCGATCGGAACTTGGGATATCTACAGCATGATGTATCTAGAGAAAACATGAGAAAACCTCAGGCTGAAGGCTAAGAATCACAGACGACGGACAACACTCTCAGGCATGTCCTCCACGATTTCTTTGTGTCAAACCCGCCTTCCCAGGCTGTGGGGTTGCGCCAGTGACACGAGAAGCTTGGCTTTTGCCTGGCAGAAAGCTTGAGACCACACCAATGAGAGCGACAACAAACTTTGATCAACTTTGTATGGCTCAAAATCGGCACTCATAGATCCACAAATTTAATCGTTTTTAGAAATAACAGGAAATAACTCTATAAGGCCTCCAATTTTGGATTTGTTGGGCACATTCTGTGGCTTTGAAGCATCACTTGTCGCGCTCCCCGGCCTTTCTGGGCATTCCAAGTGACTTCGAACTGGACGGGATTCCCTTGCACCAGAACTCCACCATCCACCAAGGAACTCCGATGGACAAAGATGTCGTCACCTCCAGCATTCCTTGCGACTGAAAGATGAGATCGAGGTCATCTTAAATACATCCAACGAGCATCAATTAATAAGGGACTCAAAATGAACAAATCCAATACTAAAGTATATTAACCCTATTTGGGGAGGGATTATATAATTAGTTTTGTATCGTGTTTGCATACAGGATTGACCTCAACTTGAGCCACTGTCCAGCAGTGGAGGTTGGAGTAGCAACTGTGGATTTGGAATTCTTCGAGTGAAACTGCAACGAAGCATTTGCCCATAATGTGGGCTCAAATACCTTTCAACCAACCCCATGGAGTCAGAAGCTTACCTGGATACAGCCAAGAGCTACAGAGCGACATATCCTGATGAAAAGACCTACAAACCGGCAATGCAACAGAGAGTCGGAATGATAAAGCCGAAGCCCTTCTCATCGTTCCATGACTTGACGGTGCCGGTTTGCATGTTGGCGTTCATGCCGTCCATGCCGCCCATGCCACTCATCTGGCCACCCATGCCTCCCATGCCTCCCATTCCGCCCATTCCATCCATACCACCCATACCACCCATCTGGCCACTCATTCCACCCATTTGGCCGCCCATACCTCCCATCTGGCCGCCCATGCCACCCATTTGGCCGCCCATACCACCCATTTGGCCGCCCATACCACCCATTTGGCCACCCATACCACCCATCTGGCCACTCATTCCACCCATTTGGCCGCCCATCTGGCCACCCATACCACCCATCTGGCCACTCATTCCACCCATTTGGCCGCCCATACTTGCCATCTGGTTGCTCATTTGGCCCATCTGGCCTCCCATACCTCCCATCTGACCGCCCATACCACCCATGCTATCCATGCCGCCCATTCCACCCATTTGGCCTCCCATTTGGCCTCCCATCTGGCCACCCATTCCATCCATGCCGCCCATTCCACCCATTTGGCCACCCATGCAGCCCATTTGCTGCTGGCCACCCATTGGCTGCTGCATGCCCATTTGACCTCAGATGGAGAGTGACAGTCCTTCAACGTTCAAGTTGTTCCAAGCTTTAACCTTCCTGGCACTTGGCTCGAGCTCTACCAGTTGGAGATTGATAAAAAGATTTGATACGATGACCTCAGGTCCACCTCCACGACTGTAACATCCAGATTTCGCTGCTTTCTGAAAGAATGCTGGCCACCCCCCTGGCCACGAATTCGACGAATGCTGGCCATGTCACCCATACTCATGCCACCCATACCTGTCGGGTCAGAAAGCGGCGGAGCCTTTGGACCAAGCTTCTCTCTGAAAACACTTCTGGCACTCCTGGTTTCTAAAAATGCTGGATCCAAATCAATAAATATCAGGAAATATCTCAGAGAAACTGTCTGAGGAACCTTAACGAAAATGCTAAACTCCCCAGGAACATCTTCCGCGATCCGCCTCCACCGTTTAAGCCATCGCCACCTCCAGTGCCGTGACAACCAACAATGCTTTGCAGCTTTCTGTAACGCAAAAGAAATGCGACAAAACAAAGAGCCTCTCACACATAGCATCTCCCTCCAAAAGACACTTTCATCATCTGTCATCATCTCTCATCACTGTCAAAATGTTCCTCACTTTCAAGACTTTAATCACTTTCAAATTGTGACGTTGCCAATATTCCCTCATAAAGCAAAATTCCAACATTCAACTGGTTGCACCTGCGCACGCAGCTGGTGACCTCAAGAAAAACTCCCGCAGGATACGAATCTGCAAACCCTGGGGATCTGCCATCGGATCTGTCAGATCTGGAATAACTGTGCCATGCTGTGAATTGAATATCTCATGGATATGAACAGCTTGTGCTGTTGAATTTCCATGAATTTCCTGTCGAGCACCAAACGCACCATCGGTAGGTCTGGTCCAAGTGACCTCCCCAGCTGAATGTGATCCGTTTGCTTTGAGAGATCCATGATTGTCACCGGATTGAACCATGTCATCATGGTGAATCAACACAGAAGTCGCCATGATATCAAGAAAATTGGACCAGTCGCGAAGTATCATTGGGGAAACTGAGAAAGGTATGAAAAAAAAACACACACAAACTGGCTGATTCACTACAGAAAAAAGTTGGGGCCGTCTCTGAGCTGAGTCTATGATGGTCAAACTATACTCATGCGCTGCAATCTGCACTCAAGGAATAATTGTGTGTCATCACATGTTCGTAACTTGTCATGAACATGATGCTTCAATTTAGTACACTCATAAATATATGTATATAGAATATTCAAGAATATTCCAGTGATATCCAATTATATATACATATTTACATGCCATGTATAAGTCAATTCTCCCGACACTGGCTCTAAACAGCTGCCTCACCGGTGGAAGTGTTGTGGTAATACCTCAGCCGCCCACGTGACGCAGGACCTGATCATGTTGATAAAATCTCGATATGAAGAATTGTTGCGGCTTCCATTGTTTCCATTGCTTCCAAGCAACGGATTGCCCGAAGTGGGGTCGACATGCTCTGCCCATCCTGGTGGAAAGTGACCCATGGGACATCATGGGACCATGGCCCCCACGATCCCCACCTGGTGGAAGCGACATCTATGGCACGTGGCATCGGCCACACCGACCGCCGGGCGAGCCACAAAATCTCCAATGCAAAAGAAACACCAAAGAT